TGTGTGTGTGTGTGTGTGTGTGTGTGTGTGTGTGTGTGTGTGTGTGTGTGTGTGTGTGTGTGTGTGTGTGTGTGTGTGTGTGTGTGTGTGTGTGTGTGTGTGTGTATATATAGCCAATGTTATACACGTGTATGAAACAAGTTATGCAACTCAAGAATTCAGTAACCATATTTAAGAATATTTAGTTACAGATAATATATATACATTCTATAAATGAGAGCACAACTGCTGACATGTTTGTTTAAAATTCAACAATGTTAAACGGGCTTTAAGAAAATGTTTTGTAATTAGAAGATACCGTGGAAGCAATAAATTTAAATGAGTGTAAGAGCTTTAATTATCAATGATAAGGGCTGGCTTTTTAAGATTTTAATGTAGAAGACATGACAGAAGAAATGTCTAAGATGTCCCTCATTAGTTTCAACTCTAAAGATGTAAATATGATAAGTGAAGGTTGAGGTGTGTACTACTCAAAGGTTGATAAAGCTAGTTGAAGTTAAGAAGTCTTGACGAAATGATACACTTGCGTGTGTTTACTTCCATTCATAATACTACACGGTACATGCTGTAGAAAGCAGTGTTTTGTGTTTACAAAAAAAAATAATCACTTGTTATTGTTAATTAGTTATTATATTTTTATCTGTTAAGTAGTATATTATTAAGCTTCTAAAGCTATTTTGTCTTAATATAACTGTTTGATCAGTAGTGTCTTTAAACTTTTCTAAGTAATTTAATTTCTGAAAACTTATTTTATCAAAATGGTACCACTTCTATCATTACACGATGCCTGTCTATTCACTTTCAGGTTTTCCAATATCTGTGGTGACCTTGAAGATTTAGAGGTTGTTCTAAAGAAAACTCGACCGAGACGTAAGCTTGGGGAAGGCTCCTGCTCGGCTCTAATTAAACTGTTGGATGGAAATAAAGATATCTATGTTGCTCACGATACGTGGACTGCTTACAATACTATGTTGAGAGTATTAAAGAAATACAATCTGCAGATTCATGTTTCTCCACAGAAAGGTGGTTATTCTTAAGTATTTAATTTTTAGGCTTAATCTCTAAAATCAAGATAACTAAATGAACCTGCCTAACTATACTAGTATGGTCAAGTAATACCAAATTGACACGGAATGCTTTAAGAAATAACTTTTGAATACTTGAGTTAACTTCTTTTAAAGTAAATATGTATGTAGAAGAACTTTCTGTAAAATAATTGATAAACCACCCTCTTGTCTACAACAGCTATGAAAGTTACTATCTTCTGGATTAATGTTTGCTTGTTTTTGTAATAATTGAATACCGTGTTATGTAGTTAACATTTTCTCCAAGTAACTAGACATTTGTGCCTTTCTGCAGCGAGATAGCACAGTTTTCATGTGTTCTACTTATCTTATTTTAAAGTGTCGTACTTGATCTAATAACATATCTGGTGATTTAAGTACTTGTGGTTGTCATACAGGGGAGGGGGGGAATCTTAACAGTGAGAATAGTAGGACTAGGGGATAAGTATAAATTTTGACAGGATAGCTGTCATCTTTAGCTAAGACAGTTTTTTTTTTTTTTTTTTTTCTTAACAGGTTGGTTGGCCTCGGCAAGTTTTGCCTTTAGATGTTAACTTCTCCATCCCTAAACCCTCTTCTGAACCCCTTTCCAATAACTCAATGTCCTTCCTAACATAACAATTCTAAGTCTGGACACAATACTCCATCTGCTTTTATTTACCAAACTTACTAAATGATCCAAGTCTTTCTAAAGCAGCAGCATCTTCTTCGCAGATAGCAACTCCCAAGACATTAATATCTGCAAATTTAAATAATTTATTGGCCATTTCTGCATCTGTGTTATTAATGTAAATCAAAAAGAGTAAAGGTCCTAAGACTGAGCCCCGAGGTAACCTACTTGCGACATTAATCCACTATGACTGAACCCCCCCCCGTTTGTAACAACCTTCTGCTTTCTTTCATCGAGCCATTATC